TCTTTCCCTCTCCAGATCTGAGATGGTGGCTCTGCTGTCAGCCTATACCTGAGTGACTAATGAGAAGAGTCCCCTTTTGAACCTGCAATGGACACAAAGATCATTATAAATTATGAATTAAAAAATAAAACGTAAAAAAAAAATACTTATGAGAGCTGGAGTTTGTTTATTTTGGAAGGAAAACAAAAGGTTATCCTGACTGATCCACAGGCTGTCAGGTCGAAGGATTAGAGCCAATCTGTAAGATCTCAAATGCACAGAAACAGGAGAAAATTTCAGCTCAGCCTAAGAAAGCATTTCTAGCAGAATCTCCAGCTGAAGTGGCTGTTTCAGCACCAGGGAGTCTCTAGTCAGTCATGCTGTTCCAAGCAGAGGCTGAGTAGCCAGACCCACTGCCTAAAGAAGTCAAACACCTAAGTAGAAAAGGTAAATAAATCATCTCTACAAATCTCCTCCAATTTTCAGATGCTAAGATTTAACTTATACATACAGCAACAGGTGAGAGAGGGGAGGAGAAAAGAAAAGACAAAGAAAGGACGTTCTCCTTTCTTTGAAAAAGGAGAGAGAAACAGTACTTAGCAGCTCCTAAGCCATTTTTTCCTTATGATAATGCCTAAGCATACATAGCTTGACTTAAGTGAACCAAGTTTCATTCTCATTTATGAATCTTTAAAATATTTCAAATACAACCATGAACATTTATTTGCAGTACATTATTCCATGCATTGTAGTCATGTATTCATTAGTAAATTTCAGTTGAACTTTAAAAAACAAAACAAACAAAAAACAAACCTGAACTATAATAAAGTCAATTCTACACCAACTAACTGAATCTAAATCAAATACTTCTTAGAAATCCAGCCTAACATGTTGAGCGTGCCATAAGGAATGTTCTGGCTTCCAAGGCCAACACCTGTGGGATTAAGTCTAACAACCCAACAACCATTATATTAAGAAATTAACACGACAGTTTTATAAAATGTTCATCATTTACAGTTATTACAGTATTTTTTTTTGAGAGGTTTTCGCTATAGGGCGCGTGCGCTCGCCAGACAGACAGAAAGAGACATAGAGACAGAAAGCGAGAAATCACCCCCCAGGGGGGATGGTCACGCCGCAATCCCTTCTCCTCCATTCTCCTCTCGGGATCTTGGGCACACACGCACACGCACCCGGCATGAGTTTTAAGCCACTGGGTCCAGGACGTGAACCGCAGTCGACTACGTGGGAGTCCAGTGACATAGCCATTACGCTAACTGCTGGTTCCCCAGTTATTACAGTAATTTCATCTTTGTCAGGCATTACATACCTTTCATGAAATGTTCCTATAGAAAAGCCTCAATTCGTTAGGATAACTGACACCAGAAAAAGTCTATGTAAATGAAATTCACTTAAAACAAGGACAAAAATTTCATCATAAATAATAGAAAATGTTCTAAGTAAAATTTTCTTTTTTGGAGCCAGCAGGTGGCGTGGTAGTTACGGCACTGGACTCCTGCATGGCTGACCAAGGTTTGAGTCCCAGAGAGAGAGAGAGAACAAAAGAGAACTACCAGTATGGTACATATGTACAATGGAACATCATTCTGCTTTAAAACTAAGGCAGTTGGGAACCACCATCTTCCAGTAATTCACCAAAATGACGAACACAAGGGAAAAAGGAGAGGCACCCATATATGTTCTTTAGGCTTTTAGAAAACACGGAGTGGTTCCTTTGGCAACATACATGCGAATCTACAAGAAAGGTGATATTGTACATATCAAGAGAATGGGCAGTGTTTAAAGAGGAATGCCCCACAAGTGTTACCATGGCAAAACTGGAAGAGTCTACAATGTTACTCCAGCTGTTGGCACTGTTGTAAACAAACAAGTTAAGGGCAAGATTCTTGCCAAGAGAATTAATATGTGCATTGAGCATATCAAGCATTATAAGAACAAAGACAGCTTCCTATGTGTGAAAGAAAATGACCAGAGAAAGGAGGAGGCCAAAGAGAAAGGTACCTGGGTTCAAGGAAGCACCAGCCTGCTCCACCCAGAGAAGCACACTTTGTGAGAACCAATGGAAAGGAGCCCAAGCTTCTGGAACCTATTTCCTGTGAATTCATGAAATGATGGGTATCTATTTCTAACTAAACTATGATCTATAAAAATGTTTTTCTTAATTGAGTAAAATTGTGTTTCCTCCCCAAAGCTAATTTTAGTTGGGCTCTAATTCATTTTGTACTATCTTAATTCAAATTTAGTACTTTTTAGCTGAAAGATGTTAGGTGGCTTATTATGCAACAAATAAAACTCAGTTGGTTAGGGAGAAAAAAATAAGGAAGAAAATTCTGACATACACTGCAACATGGACAGACCCTGAGGACATGATGCTGAGTAAAATGAGCCTGAGCTAGAAGGCCAAATCCTGTATGGTTTACATGCATGAGGTATGTAGAGTAGTTAAAATCACACAGACCAAAGAAAAATGGGGGTTTGTCAGAGGCAGGGAAAAGGGAGAAACAGGGAATTACTGTTTAACAGGTACACGGTTTTGATTTTGCAAGATGAAAAAGTTCTGAAGATAAATAGTGGTGATGACTGCACAATATTGTAAATATATTTAATGGCACTGGAATGTGCACTTAAAAATGGTAGGAAATGGTTAAGATGGTAAGTTTTGCTATGTATATTTGGCCACAATTTAAAAAAATACTGGTTTATTAAAAATCAACTAGAAGGGACCAGCAGTTGGCATAATGGCTGTCACTAGACTCCCATGTAGTTGACAGCGGTTCGAGTCCCAGGACCAGTGGCTTAAACTCACGCTAAGCGCATGTGCGTGCCCAAGATCCCAAAAGGAGAATGGAGGAGAAGGAATTGCAGTGTGTCCATCCCCCTGGAGGGTGATTTCTCACTTTCCATCTCTCTCTCTCTGTCTTTCTGGCAAGTGCACGTGCCCTATAGCAAAAATGTCTCCCTCCCCCCCAAAAAACAACAACTAGAAGGAGCCAGCAGGTGATATGGTGATTAAGGTACTGGACTCCCATATGGCCAACCATGGTTCAAATCCTGGACCTGGTGGCTTGCTTTCTCACTTTCCTTCTCTCTCTCTCTCTCTCGCTCTCTCTCTCTCTGTGTGTGTGTGTGTGTGTGTGTGTGTGTGTTTATGTGTCTCTCTGGTCACCTTTAAAATAATAATAATAAATAAAATTACATAAATAATTCTTTAAAAAAAAAAAAAAGAACTAGAAGACAAACAAAAACAAAACTACCACCAAGATAAGTCGTAAGTAATGAATGTCTGTATCAAAACATCACACTGTACCCCTTCTGGCAATAAGCAAAAAAGCCACAAATGTAATAGGAGAGAAAGACAAGAAAATCAAGTATTACAACACAGTGTGATTAATGGACAAGTTAAAAGCCACCATAATTTAATAGAAGTTTACTTAAAGGTAAGTATTTGGTAGGTATAATCATGTTTTGTGGAAATACACAGGAAATAGAGGAGGAACATTTGACTTAATACAGCAGTCAAGAACATCCAAGATGGGTCATCCAAAAGGTAAAATGGAAGGATCAGCCATGAGGAACAGCAAGGAAAAGTACTGCAGGTAAAAGGAACAGTGCATAGGCTGTAAGTTCTGAGAGAATCAGATCCATTCGATGACCTCTTAAAATAAATTGGGGCCAGCAGGTGGTTTGGTGGTTAAGGAACTAGACTCCCACAAGTCTGACTGAAAGTCTCTAGTCAAAAGCCCATCATCCTAAGGTGTTTCTCAATAAGTCTTTAGCATAATGTAAATAAGAAATGATTCTATAACTGGTGAAAAAAATGTTATAAGTCTAAATCAAGGACCTGCCCCTATGGTTGTATGATTTCCTCTAGAAGAATTGAGCTGCTTTGCCAAGCAAAGACTTAACCAAGTCATTCTGGAAAGGGAAAAGAGAATCTATGGTATCTGCAGAGGAGTGATAATGATCTGTCATGGGCTCCATGATGAGTAAGGAAGAATTTAAGGATAGGAAGAGGGCAATTACTAATGATAAAGTAGGAAAATCAGAAATCAGAGACAGCAAAATCAAAGAATCAAAGTAAGATAAAGAGAATGAAATGCATGAAGTCGAGATTTCTGAGGAGATAATAGTTATTGGTGATGACATTTTTTTTTTTTTAGAGATTTTCGCTATAGGGCACGTGCGCTCGCCAGACGGACAGACAGAGACATAGAGAC